TACTCTCAGGCTACCAACATTTCTTACCTGGCTTTGTTTCAAAATATCTACTTGACGTTCCTAAACATAATCTTGGCGCATTCCAAATCCCATTTCCCTCAAAGCAATCAAGTATTTTAACAGAAAATCAAATTATGTCATCAAACTCTCTATAACCCCTTGCAAGTTTTAAATATTTTCTTATTGTATTTGATCTCAGTTTGCTCTCTCCCTCTCTTTCTCTTCCTTCCCTGTCTTTCTTTCTCTTTCTTTCTTTCTTTCCTTTTTTTTTTTTTTTTTTTTTTTTTTTTTTTTTTTTTTTGAGACAAGATCTTGCTATGTAGTTCAGGCTGGCATTGAACTCACTTTGACCCTCCTGCCTCTGTCTCCCAGTGCTGGGGTTGGAGGTGGATACCACCATGTCCAACACATTTGTCCCTTCAACATTACCTTCAATTCATCTCTGTTTGCTTGAGTCCATTTTATTGTGCCTAATTTCTACAGTTAAAATGTGACTAGGCTTTCTCAGTTTCAGTTCAATGAGTTTTGAAACATTGCTTTCCTGTCTTTGCATGAGAGCACATGTATCTATGTCCATATCTACTTCTATATGTGTTGTACCTATACAGTTTTGTTGTATGAAACTTAATATTTCTTGTTGCAGTAATAATTGGGAACCTCGTAATACCTTATTATTAGATACTAAGTCTAAAACTTATATAGAAATGTTAGTATGTTAACTTATATTATGTGTGATTTAATTCTAGCAGTGATCTTTGAGGTAATGCTAGTGTTGTCCACATGCTATCATCAAGGAAACGGAAAGCACTAAGAGTAAGAGAAATTGAATGGTTTCCATAGGTTCTCTCATGAGTCATTCGTGGATCCTGAATTGTAATGCAGGCACTCGGGCAGCTCAGTTCTAGAGTCTTGGTTCTTTCCTGGACCACTCAATCACACCTTCACAGTATATGAAGTGATTTCGTCATTATGATTATATAATGGACATGTATTTGTCTACGAGGGCTGCTATAACAAAATATCACAAACTGGATGACCTATAGTATAGAATTTTATTTTCTCATAGCTGTAAAGACAGGAATTCCCAAAGGATTCTACCTTCTGAGGTCTCTCATCTCCTGGTTTGTAGATGACTATTTTCTTACTGTGTCTCACACAACCTTTCTGTTAGTACTTGTGCTCCTGGTATCTCCTCTTGTAATAAGGAAATCCATCTTACTGAAACTGATATCCTTATTGTGCCTTAATTACTCCTCATTGTTTATTTTTAAATATAATTATACTGGTGGTTAGAACTTCAATAAGGGAATGGGGTATACAACTTGGCCAATGAAAGAAATATCATTTAATGGTATACTACAAAAATATGTTATATTTCAATTTTCTTTTGATAAATTTGTCCTTTATCAAAACTTCATTTGAAATATTTCAAGATGAAAATTAAAAACAAAATAAAATTTTAAAATGATGTTAAATTTTGTAGAGAAAGACTCAGCAATTTTATTAAGAATGCATTTTGTTAGTGTGATTCTATTTGATTGCAATCTGATCTACTGTTTAAATATTTTGATTGAATAATTATGTTAATATGGTAAAATAATTTTCTTTATAATATTTGTAATTCTTGTATTTTACTCTATAGTTTTTATTTTAAAGTTTGCAGTATTACAGTAGACTTTGTCAAAAATGTTCTAGTAAGATAATAATGTTGATGTTGAAATGATAATTTCAACCATATGGTGCTCTTTAGTTTGCCAAATCAGTTTAGTTATCAGGAACACAATGAATACATTCTCAAAAGATTCTGTTAATAGATATTTTTTTATGGACATGAAAAAGAACCTTGATTTTTTAGTTCCTGGAACCAACTTACAAAAGCAAATTTTGTTTTATTCAGTTAAGTGTGGAATTCTATTTTTAATGCAGACCTTATTTTGATTAACATGTCTTTGCATAGCCAGCATTAATTATTTTGTTAATGTCTTAATGATCTAGCAGACTTACTATGTTTTCCCCCTATATAATTAAGAAATAACTAAAAAATAACTATAAAGAATGAATGGAGACAAAAATACCAGATAGAAGGCTGACAAAATGATTTTTTAATGTGGTTTTGATGTGCACCTACAATAGACTTGAAAAAAATTTTCGCTCATTAAATTCTTACTTCTAAAACCACAAAGAGCTAAATAGACTATTGCAAACTTTCTTTAAAATGTCTGACAAAGAACAAGCAGTTCAAAATTAAGTCTATAGCAAGGCAGACATAAAACAGAGAGAGAAAATGGTTTTGAACTCAGCAATTTCTTTTAACCTAAATAAAAACCGTTAAGTCATTATTCTTGTCTGAGGAAGTCAGTGAGGGTGAGGAGAGAAACCAGCAATGATTAGTTTTGACTGTGATGTCATCCATGTTTTGATTTAAACCATATGGAACATTAAATTGAGCCCATTAACAAGTTGCTTGCTATTAGCCTTGCAGCCCACACACAAATTTATATTTGCAAAAATGAATAAAATAGTCCAATTAAGCAAAAAAAATGACAAATAATTATATACACTGTTAGAAAGTTCTCAGTTCTCTAGACTCTTGCTTTTATGTTTTAAATAGGCAAACAAGGTCACCATTGGATTTTGGATTGAATCCAGAATGCAAAATGAGTATAGTGTTCTGTTAATAACTGAAGAGAAATGTTGGCTAGCAATGCTAAGTCGTTATCTGTTAAATTGTCTTCCCTGTGTGGCAGCTCCCTAATTCTAGGGTTCATATAAGAAACTGAGCTTTATGTAGCCAAATAAAATGAAAAATTTCTAGGAAAGTTATTATTTTTTCATAGCAATATGGATTAATTTCCACAGTGCACAATCAATATCTCAGGTTCTGTAAAAATAGCTGAAAAAATTTATAAAATGAGGTGGCATCTCAAAAAAGCACACCTCAATCTCAATTGCTTTTCATAAAGACAAATGATCCTGGTAATTATTTGTAGCTACAATATGATTTAAGTTGAAATTTTAATATCTGGAATAAACATCATTGATAATTGGAATTCCCAGATCGAGCTAGTTGAGTTAGTCTTCTGTTCCAAGGCGTAAATGTTAGATTTAGCAAATCAAAATTTTGGGCTCTAACTGAAATTTGAATTTCAGGTAAACAAAGAGATTTTTTAGTATTAATATGTCATGTAGAATTGTTGGGGCATATTCATGCTGAAATATTGTTAGTTTCTACCTTTTATTCAATTGTCACTGGAAATTTTCTGTTTTGCCTACCCCTGTGGTAGGATATATATTTCTGTACCTACTCATAAAACATGCAACCAAATATATTCTTTTATTTGAATCTTAATTTAGTAAGCTTATGGTTATAGTTTTTTGATAGCAAACTTATGATATATATATATATATATATATATAATTAACTTGTAGTACATATAATTATATTTTTTATTCCTTATGAAATAAGGATCTTCATTTATGGATTTCAAAAATATGATATATGTGCATATAAACTTCAATTTACATTAACTGAAAATATTGTCTTTCACATTAAAGTAGAAAGTATCTAGTCAGAACAGTGGTCAACATTATTTCATGAAAAAAATACATATAAATTCCAATGCAGATATTATTTATTAAGATATTAAGGTCAACCTTTTTGACATTTTAAGATCTTTAATGTAGTTATTTAAATACTGATATATGTCTTGATAAGAAATTTTTAAATTTTTGATCACACTGAAAAATTTAATACTTCTTTGGAGAACCATGCACACCTGCAACTGAAGTGGCTAAGTGGCTATAAAGCAGGATTTTAAAGATTATCTTCACAGGCTAAAGTGGCTTTACATTTACATCTTATGATAGCTTGGAATCTAAAAAAAATTGAGACCCAGTGATTTTTGTGATGCTCTCTTGTGTTAGTTAGTTTGTTTTCTATTGTAACTACAATATATTTGAGGTTAATGGCATCCCATAGAAGACTGTTACATTAAACTCATGATTCTGGAGACAGAGAGTTCAAGATTGGGTGACTCCTTAGCTGCATTGCTTCAAGGTGGGAGCACATACAATATGAAGAAATTATATAACTAGAAACCAGACTAGTGGGAAATAAAATAACAAAAGGAACTAGTCTTAGGCATTTATAACAGTTTTCTTTTCTGAGAACTAACTTTGGAAACTACCTCACTCCCTTCTGAGTTAGTGCTTCAAAAACTCTCTTCCTAGGCTCCATCTCTTAAGCTCCATTTCACAGTATCACCACAGTGAGGACCCAGCTTCCAGCCCATGAACCCATGGGGACTCATTCGAGCCAGATCCAAACTGAGCACCTAAGTAATGCAAAGTGAGCTTCCCAGACTTGCAGCCGGAGGGTTTTTTCAGAGAGAATTAACAAAATCAAAATGGTACAACTTTTCATTTTAAAGTCATGCTATTTTAGAAGACAGACAAGTGATTCACTAATATACTTCCATAAAACTTCATGATTAAAGTCTTCTCCACCATATTCCTTTCTAAAAGAAAGTAAAACAAAACAACAAAAAATTAAGATGAAGTATATTAGATGCATTATATAATAAGGTCAAAAATCTTTTTGGCCCTTCACTCATTTTTAACACATTTAACTCAAACTTTAAATCTCAAGTAAATACATACTTTTGTATGTGATTTTCTCTCTGTGATGTCTTTAACCAAGGTTATTGTTGGTAATTTGAAAGGCATAGTAAGTCAGTATCTTATACTTTTACAATATGTTACCTTAAAAGTTAAATTATAACTTGTTTGCTCTGAATCAAACTAGGTACTTTATTTGTATCATCTATTGAACAAAAATAGATATTTGCAAGATATTTCCAATGATAGTGATTGGAAAACAGCCAAACCTGTTTTCATCTTTTGAGCAAAACTATAGTGAGTGCTTGTTTACCACATAGGTAATTTCCATTAGTTCCTATAATTTTCTCTGTATAACAAACTTGACTTTTTCTGTCTTCTAGATGAAATGAATGATCATCAAAGCACCCTCTCCTACATCCTGATTAACCCATCTCCAGATACTAGGCTTGAACTAAATGATGTTGTGTAAGTTGTTTACTTATCTTACTTAAGACATACGTTTTAGAAAACTGATTTATTTTTATATTTTGATTTCTAACACTGTAGCATTATTTATCCTAAGATAAAAATACTTTAAAAATCTATATCATTTTTGTTCACTAAATAAGTGCACTTGATGTGTTGCTGGGAGTAATATTATTATAATATAGAATTATTTTAAAAAGTTATCAATATAAGATGGCCTTTTGGGCCTTATCACAGTCTGGAGGCATCCACATTTGTAATCCCAATAAGTAATTCCAATTTACCACTTCCAGTGAAATCTATGGCAAAAATAAAGACATTAATAAAGTCGTATTTGTAGTTGTGGGGAGCCAAGAGGTCCTAAATCCAGCTAGAACAATGACTAACCAGAACCAAGGCCTTGACCAAGGGAGGAACCCTGGATTTTACTAATTCATGAAGAGGAAGTGGCTTAGGGATGAGTGACTTAGAGAAAGGTGCAGGGTGTTGAATAGTGTGAGCTGGGATAGGTAGGAGGCCTGAATCACCTCTGGGTGGGAGAGTATCTAGTGTTTTTTGGTTGGTACTTCAGTTTTGATGTATAATCATCATGCCCTGAGATGTCATGGCTCCTTCTCTCAAGGCTTTTAGAATAATTTGATTGATTGAAAAATAAGAGTTAGGCATGAAAAACATACTGTTCTAAAGATGTAAAACAGAGATAACTAACTACATTAAATTTTAAGCATTGTAAATTGAACACTGATGTACAGTATAACTGTCACTGATAAGTAAATCACCAGTTGAGTGAGCTAATTCTTTTATAATTTGAAGGAGGAAGAATGATTACAAAAGATGAACTACATTCTGAAAGACAGATTGAAGTCACATTGGGAGACAGCTGAGGACATTCCAGAACAGGGAGATGACTTAAGAGAATACACTACATAGAAATTACACAAATGTGTTTCAGTTTTTAGTTTGACGTGTGTGTGTATGTGTTTAGTGTTTCTGTTATTAAGTAGTTGAACTTAATTTTTTTAAGAGTAGGAAATTTTATTGAGCAAGAGCCTGCTCTTACATATTGAATTTAGAACTGAATCTAGCAGGCTGGGATGACACAGTGAGTTTAAACATATTTCATTGAAATTGTCTGGTTTGTCTTATATCTCATTAATTTTTACTAAAGTTGTTATTTTCAATTTTTCAGCAGGCAGTTAGTAAATTTCCTTTTTAAAAAAATCTGTTACAGCAGTTATTTGGTTTCATTGGGAAGTCTATTATTACCTTGTTATTTTTTTTTTTTAATGCTTCTTATGTCACTACATTGATACTTTGGAAACTGGAGGCTCTCCTGTCTCTACTGATTTATAGCATGTTTTCCTAGTAAAATAATCCGTTCTGGAGAGGTGCGCCAGCATGTCAGTTGGGTGGGCTATGTTTGTTTTGGCCGTAGATGGATGAGTGAGCACAGTCCGTTATAGTCAGTGTTGGTGATAACCAAGAAGGGTCTCAGTGGACTACACTGAAAGGTTTTAGGATTGTGCTGCCAGGTTGAACGCAGCTGCCTTAGATAGGACAGTTTATCTGGTGACTCGGGGCACTGTACACATGATTACAGAGTTGGGGTACCTATTAAGTTGTGTAGGGTAGAGTCACTCTGGAGGACCAATACCAGCCAGGTACAGCAGTTGGAGCAGCAGCAGAAGCAAGGCAACACTGTTTCAAGGGGCTGTGGAAGTGACACTGTCTCAGGTGAATGTGACGCGGTGAGCCTGACTGCAGAGTAGGGTGCCTGTCGGCATTTGAGAGCCTTGCACACGCCAGGCCGTACCCTATTGTGGCTGTGCCTGAGTGTCCAAGGGGCACTGAGGTAACTTCACAGAACCTCTGAGGTCAGTCTAGGGCTGTCATGGATGTTTATCTGAGTATCAACTGGCCAAGTTTCTCAGGGTGGACTTCCTCTCTATTTCTTAAGGGTACAGGAGAATGGGAAAGGCTGTCCGTTTATTCCTCAGAGCCTTTATGGGACAGGCTGCCCAGGTACTTCTCACAGCCAAGAGTAGTAGGGCAAGACTGCCCATATGATCCCCAGGGGTGAGTGGGCTTGCTTTCCAACTGTTTCCAGGGACAGAAGGTATGTGGGTGCTTTTTCCAGACCTCTGTAGGTTGAGCCACTCAGGGCAAGCTGCCTGGGTGCTTCTTGGGATTGTGGGAGAGTGGAAAGGATCAACCAGCTAGTTTGCAGACCCGAATCAGTCAATCTGCGGTTCAGACTCCTGGCTGCCTCACAATACTCTGGCTGGGCAGGGTCTCAGGAGAGTGCTGTGCAGGAAGAGGCTGAGTGGGAGAGGCCAAAATGTTGGATGTGAGCTGTCCGGAAGGCAAAGCAGTGATGAGGTAACTCACACTTCAGCTTTGCAAACTGGGCTCAGTGCCTGTGAGGGCTGCTGACCTTTCTAGCTGTAAATGTTTCTGGTACATGTGGTACTTGTTGAGACCTCCTGCTTGGGCAAGACCTCCAAGTGAAGTCCCTTTTGTTTCTAGCATATTGGCTTGATAGTTAGAGATAGAACGGAAAATGCTGTCTTTAGTTGCTTTCTTTAAAAGCCCATCATTTGCTGTCATACCCGTGACATCCTGCCACATCCCCTTTGTACCCTGGGGCTCAATGTTAAACACTTCAGTGAAATCTCCTTTCTTTTTTTTTCTTGCATGGTCCTTTATTGTGAAGGGAAGGGTTCTCCAAACATCTCCTCCACTATCTTGATGATCTCACTCTTTCAATACATTTTTTCCAAAGAGGAATTCTTCAGGAAATGATGGAACTGTCAGGAAATAGCATGGCTAATGTGGACTTGAATAGGGGCAACAATTAAAACATAGGCTTCCAAGATAATCTGCCACAGCATCAAAATTGTGCATTGTAAATGTCAGCTCCTATGTAAATACATTTATGAATGCAAGCAATGATTATTGGCTATTGATATGGTAATTAAAAATGGAAGTCTAATGTAGCTTAGCTTTCAAATTGTAAACATTCCGAACCAAAAAACAAAAAGAATCGTGTTTCATTACTGCAAACCAGAATAAGAACCAGCTGTCTAATCTGGAAAGATGAGTCTTTGGCTAGAGAAAAAACAGAGATGAAGAACCTGGTCCTATTATATTCCTGTTATATTCATATACTAGAACTTTGCAGATAAGCTAGTTCTATATAGATATTATTTGTTTTTTATTACCTTGATGATTAAAGCAAAGAAAAGAATGGTTTTTCCAAAGAAGTGAACAAATAAAAACTGGAACACTGAATATTGAATTGTAATGTTCAGTTGTAGGGCAGAACAAGGAAAGCGTTAAAGACTTTAATTATATAAAATAGCAACAGCAATGTTGATGCGAACTAACTTTGAAAAGATTCCAAAAATGAATTTAAGATTTAAAGTACAATAGCACTTTATTTTGTCATTTGATGATAATTGCTAGGCTTTCAGTGATTTTGGGAATCAGGTAAATAACAATATTAAGGTGCTAGAACTCTCAAGGCATGGTCAACAATTATATGTTATTATGACATTGCACTTCTGAACACTTTTAATTAAGAGTAAATAATTTGTGGTGCACTTGCTTTCAAATGACTACCTCAGACTTTTCAATTTGTATTTTATTTAATGAAACAAAGCTACTCTTTTTTTCCTGCATCACATTTGTGCATGCCTTCTTTTCCTAACCTCATAAATACAAGGACTTTTATGCATTCTCTACTTCATTTATCTAAATCTTCTGATACTCCATCAAGAATCATAATTATGTTAATTATATACAGTTTGAATGTTTACCTTACTTATATTTCATAATAAATTTTCAGTGTCTTAAGCCTCATACAACTATTTTTCCATGATTATTTTTTAACAGATTTTCAAAGAAGATATTGGTTTGCATTTTGAGTCTTCAGTTATGTTCTTCTATAAAATACTTGTATTTGGAAATATTTTTCAGAACTTTTTAATAATGTGTACAAGTAAAATAGATACACATTCAGAAAATTTTCTGCATTTTGGATATTCTTATTTTTTATAAATCTTAAGATCAAACATCAACTTGACTGGTACTACAACATTATCTACATCATTGCAATGATCTGTATTTGTGACTTGGAGAGAAATTTTAATATAACTACAGCTACGATAAATTATCATGAACAAAATGCTTATCTTAACAAGTAGCATATAAAAACAATTGAAAATTTGCTTTATTAAAGTTAAAGATATTATGGTAATAATCATAAGAAAAGGAATTTTTGTCACAGCACCAAGAAGTTTAGTGGATAATGGATTACATTTTTACCTTATATGTTTTCTAAAAATTCAATTACAAAGTTCATTCAAAGGGGTCAACACTAACTTGCTTCAAAAAAGATAAATCACTAGATGATATGGCATTAAAATCTTAATGTGCACTATTAGTTTTCTCCATTGATCTAAAATGCTATTGATATTTAAAGTAATTATAAAGCAGTGTCTATAGATAATAAGATCCAATTAATAGATCCAAGGACACTAATTTCATCTTTTATTTGATTGAAGAAAATAGACTGCTGTGCCTCCAATTAGCTTTTTTCATTTCATTAAGGGCTATATTTTATGAATATTTCTCTCTGCAATATTAAAGAGGAAAAGAACAATCTTCATTAGATGCTCATTTTTAAATTAATTCTTCAGTTCATTTTAATTCATCTTAAAATTACTGTGAACAAATCAAATACTACTTTCATTTTCCCCTGCAGCAAGACTGATGCTTCTTTGCAGGTGTTTACTCTTCTTTCCCTTCCAGTGCTTCAGTGACTTCCTAGTGCCTTTGGAACAGAAATTGAAACAACTAATTCTAGAGTTCTTCATTTGCATTTTTCTATCTTTCTGACTTTCTGACCACTGTGTTCTGACCTAATCAGTCTTTTAAAGCCAAATCAAAGTTTGTTTTCTAAGTATGTTAGCATCAGTGTTTCTTCTGTGTCCCCAGTT